GCCCACCAGCAGTCCCAAATGCAGGGAAGGGGAAAGGTGATTTATCCACCTACCCTTCCTGCTGGTCTCCGGGCTGCTCCAGCGGTCTGAGATTGCAGTTCTCCTCCATAGTCTCCTCCCGTGGAGTCTCCCGGGGTCTCAGGTAACCCTCCTTCCGGCCCTCATCTGCTGTATGCTCGCCTTCTTGCTTCTTTTTTCTAATTTCTGCTAGAATCTGTCTTTTCTGCAGAGACACTCTTTCTGGCGGTGTTTCTTGTCTGCCATCTTGATCCTCTCTCTGTTCATCGTTTTTAATTAAAGAAAAAGGGGGGAGATGTTGGGGGCTGATTCTGGTGTTACGCCTTATACTAATCATTCACTATAGTCTGTAATGTCCGTGTGCTGTCTGACGCAGCAGTAGTCAGCATTTCCTTCAGACACGGTTGCTGCCTTGTGACTTGGTAAGAGGCCTGAGTTGTTGCACATAAGCAAATGCTCCCGACTCCCACACGGAGGGCCCCATGGTGGGAGTCTGGAGGCCATGAGAACAAGAACTCTCCCAAGAACTGGCCCCCAATTGATGGTTGGTAGTCAATGAAGGGTAAGACTCCCCATGGAGGGGGGTGACCTAAAACAGGCACAACTGTGGGGGCCAGGGAGGAACTGCCGCCTGGGATTGAGACCAAGAAGCACTTCAAATGGCTGCATTGTTTTATGTTGCCTATCTTGGCTTTGGCTTTTGAGCTCTGTCCGGCTCCTGAATTTTAGTAACCGTTTTGAGGTCTGAGACCATGGGAACGTTATTTTGTGTTCTGTGTCATCCCCTGTCCTTTAATTGGGCCACATCAGCTCTACATGAAAGATAGAAAATAATCATATGTAGAAATGGCACTGATTCTTCATGTGCGAAGAGGACACCTTTTCCCAGGCTACACAATGGACCCTGTTTCAACTTTCAAAGAGGAATTCTGTATTTTTAATTTCCTAATTATATCCAGGTCCTTGGTGTCTCTTTATGTTCATCTCCAGCTACAAGTGCATCTCAGCCCTTCTCCTTCTCTTCTTTTCCTGTGTTATGCCTAACAGCTTTCTCACTGTCCTCTCCACCCCATGTAATTTTGCATAGCACATTGTAGGTTGCAATGGAAAGTTTGAATTTTTTTAATGTGGTGAAAAATTATTTTTAACTGGAGAGTTTGAAAGCATTTACGAGGGCTGTCTGGAAAGTATGCAGCCATGTAATATGAAATACGTGAGAAAAAATGGCTTGATACTTTTGAGACAGCCCACATATAAGTTATAAAAGAAACATTCTGATCATTTTCTTGAGATAAGAATGATGTAGTGTCCATTGACTAGAGGGTTAAAACAGACTGTTAATATTGTCTGCCTTTGTGAAGGAAAAATGTTAGAGTACGAACAGCATTAGTAGTGGGCCTTAACCTATTGTAAATAATGTAAAGACACAGATCAGAATATGGAAAGTTCTTAAGATTCAATGTCTCTTTGAAATAAAATCTTCAGGAGAGTCAATAGTAAATTTGGAATTTAGTGTTTTAATGGAATTATTATATCAGAACTTATGTTTCTATGCAGAATATTCTATTTTTGAGTGTACATATTAAATGTTTGACAGTAATTGACATATGTGTATATAAAATTTGGAGTGATCTTTTCCAGATTGATATTGCAATCTTGGGGAATTTCTCACTCACATCATTATTGCTTTATTTTAATGGGAACAGTTTACCATCCACAGTTTTTCTTCTTATTTCCCTAACTGTAGCCAAATTCTGTTTATTCTCTCTAGAAAAATCTCAGAGTTCAATCCATTTATATTAAAAGTAATTAGTGAAAGAAATGAAGTTACTTCTGACTTTGTTTCTTCTGGCTATGTCATCAGTCATTTCTTCTCTTACTGCCTTAATATATCTTATATTGATTTTGTAGTTACTTTCTTTGATTCCCTTTAATCTTCTTTAGTTTATCTTCTATAGATACTTTCTGGACACATTGAGAAACGGAGAGTACAAAACATCTTAAATTTATAACAATAACATAAGAAAGAAGGTTCTCTAGTATCATCTCAATGTGTAATCCTTAACAATTCTCAAAGATATTTATGTATGATTACAATGTGTTTTGTGAAATATTATTGCCTTATATGTATGCTAATGTTTCAAAATCTGTGCTCTTCATGGATGCCCAGGCATCTTTGAAAATTACAGTTATCTCGAATTCTTGTTTATTCAGAATTTTATAGAATAATTTTTTAATTTTGTTTTGTAATTTTATAGTTCCTTCCATTTTTTCCTCTATTATTCTTTAACGTAGGCAACTTCGCATCAGACAGTTGTGCTTTTAGTTTTTATGTGTATATAATATTTTGCATGATAATATTGAACTCTGTATCCTTTAAAACATTGTGGGGCAAATGTAAAATATAAATCAGCCATATGTCTTTCTAATATAATTTTCTTTGTGTTTCTTTGCCTGTATAAATAATTATAAGTAATTATAAATAATTACTCCTATTTTCTTTATGAGTAACACATTTTTTTCTTGGTATAAAATGATTATTTTATTCTGTCTAGGAGAATAGTCATGAAAATTATCTTAAAACCAACCTGTAGTTATTGGTAAAGATATATTATCTTTGTGTGAATCATTTGTGTGATTTGAAAATGATTTTTGAAAAGCTTTTAAAGTATTTTTGCTATTATTTCTTTTTTATTGTAAAACACATGAAATTTATAATCTTAAATATTTTTACTATACATTTTGCTCACAGTAAATATATTAACAATGCTATGCAACATACATCCTTTACAAACACTATTCTATTTTTGTTTCTAAAAATTAACCTACTTGAAATATTTTATATCAGTACATTCATAAATTGTCATTGTTCAGGTGGCTAGCTTTTTCATTTAGCATAAAGTCATGATTTATCTTTATTGTAAATTTAGAAAATTTTCTCCTTTTCAAAATTGAATAACACTCCATTATTTTTATATATCAAATTATATGTATCCATTCATTTTATGAGGCAGATTTGGGTTGTATTCACATATTGGCTTTTATGAATAATGCTGCAATAAATATGTATGTGCAAATAACTCTTCATTTGACCGTGTTTGTGAGGTTTTTATATCTGTTCTACATTTTGTTTCATTGTTCTAGTTGTCTGACTGTATGCCAGTAGCAAACTGCTTTGATTACTTTACCTTTGTAACACGTCTGGAAATCAGAAAATGGGCTATCTCTAACATCATTTCTTTTTTCAAGATTATTGTGCTCTTCATGGTACTTTGGCATTCCATATGATTTTTTAACTTCTTTTCCTAAAAAAAATTACCTTGAGAATTTTTAAAACATGGCATTGAAGTTATAGGTCATTTGGGGCAGTACGGCCATCTTACAAATAATAACAGCATTTAAATGTCTGAAGATTATTCTCAAGAGTACATCATTTACTTTCCATTTATTTAGGGATATTTTGTTTGTCGATCTGTTACTGACTTCTACTTTTATTTCCTTTTGGTCACAAATAATTGTAACAGTTTAATTTTTTAAATCTTGTAAAGAAATGTATTGTGGCCTAACACTTGTTCTATCCAGGATAACGTTTTTTGAGCCATTGAGAAGATTTTTTATTCTGTCGTTGCATGGAGTGTTATCAATATGGCTATTAAGCATAATTGTTTTATAGTGCTTTTAAGTTCTCTGTTCCCTCATTTAATATTGTGTCTCGCATTATTATTCATTACCAAAAGTGGGGTATTGCCGGATCCTACCATTATGACATTGCTATGTATTTCTAGCTTTAATTCTGTCAATGTTTACATATTTGGCAACCTTTATTTTACTCACACACACACAGACACACACAAGTATACACATATATAGAAATGTAAAAATAAATCATAGGTTTCTAGTGAATGAACCCTTTTATTATTATTTAATATCATTCTTTGTGTTTTGTGATGGTTTCGACTTAAAGTATATTGTATGAAATAAGACCAGTTTTGTTTCAAAATATATCGTGCCTAATTTTGATCTCCCTTAGTCTCATTTGATCAACATTTGCATGGGATATCTTTTTCTGTCCTGCCAATTTTATTCTGTATTTTCTCATGTGACATAAGGTGAATCTCTTGCAGAAAGTTTATAGTTGGATGTTTTTATTAGTATTTTCTTGAATCCCTATCTCTATTCAATGTATGTCTTTTGATTGTGAAGTTTACTCCATGAATATTCACATAATTTTCTCAATGCAAAGGACTTACTCTAGCCATTTTATCAATTGTATTTTTATTGTTGTAGCTCTCTTTTCTCTTTCTTTCCTCCTTTGTGTCTCATTGATTTCTGTAGTGACATGCTCTGACTCCTTTGTTATTTAATTTCATTGTATCCCTGTAGGTATTTTTATTATTGATACCATGATGACAACACAGTGCTTCTTATAGTTACAGCAATGTATTTTAAAACATTAACAACTGAAATTTAGTCACATACAAAAAGTTTTCCTCATTATATCTGCCATCATCTTTGTTATTGATGTCACCAATTATGTCTTATTATAGTGTATACCCATTAACAGAGGTGTGATATTTTTCTGTTTTTGTCTTCAAATTTTAGATCATGAATAAAAATGTTTTATGCACCGTCATTATGATACTAGAGAATTTTGTTCAGATATTCTTTCATGCTGTTCCCATAGAGTTACTTGGTTTCATGTAATTTTATGTTGTTTTCCAGCATCTTTTTATTTATAATGCAAGGGGCTCCCTTTGGAATTTCATGTGGATAATCAACGTTTCCAGTATCTAATTATCTTCTGAAATCCTTATTTTTCTTCATTTAGAAAGGCAGTTTTGAAACATATAGTTCTGCTTTGAAGTTTTCATTCCTTTAACACTTTGACTATGCAACCCAACCATTTTCTCGCATGTGAGTTTTCTGTTGATAAATCTAGTAATCTCTAAGAAGCATATTTTTAGATAACATAATTATCTCTTGCTGCTTTAAAGATTCTTTTGTTGTGTGTTACTTCCAAAACTTTGCATATATCTGTCCCCTGTGTGTTCTTTGGTTTTTTTCTAGCTGATGTATGTTGAGCTTCTTACCTTTGAGAATTTCTCACTCCTTTCTTATTGCATGCCTCAGTTGAACTGTGTATGTTTTCTTCTGCTTCTATGTTTTGTTCTTATTTTCCTGATTTCATTTAGTGTTCAGTATTGTCCTGATGTCAGACATTAAGCATCATTCAGATGGTTATTTTTAATTTTTCAGGAAATTTATGCATCTCTTGTCCTTAATGGCTGATTTCTTGTTATATTGTTTCTTTGATTGGGATATGTTACGCTGATATTTTGTGTATGTTGTAATCTTTGGTTGAAATTTGAGAATTAACAAAATCAGCTTTCAAAAACTCCATCAAGTGGCTTTATCCTGCAGTCCTCTGATACCAAGTCACTGTACTGGAGAGGAGCCTCAAATCTGTTGTGAGGACGCTGCTTCTGTGATTTTTTTGTTTATTTTCCCACATTTCTTCTTAGGAGCTTCATCATATGCTAGAACACTTCTCCATCTGTGGTCTTAAAATGTCCATGGTACAGTAACAATCTATTACTTTTGGTTTCACCACACTCTGTCTTTCAAATAATAGCATAATTGTTTTTAGAACTCTGTGTTATGGGAGACAGAAATCAGTCTTTGGAAGGGCTCTTAAAAAGCAGAAAGTTAGGTAACATTTTCCTTCTCTTTTGACAGAGAGGCTGGGATTTGGGAATATACCTCTATGTGCATCTTGCTGTATTAAGAAGGAGGAAAGGCCATGGAGGGTATATATAACAATTTTTCTTCTTTTGACATTGCCCTCACCTACTGTTCTGTGAACTCTTCTCTGGTTATTAGAATTCCCACAAAGGAATTTGCTAAGTGTAATTTTTTATATTTATTTTTCTAAAAGAGAATTAGAAACTGCATGTTGTATTGTATTATCTTGATAATGTGCTTCATATAGTTTTACATATTTATTTGTAATATTTATTTATCTGATTGTGAAGAGAAGAAAAAAGGAGATAATTTGTTATTTTTAAAATTTCTTTCAGCTATATCTTCTCATTCTACCCAACACTATACGTCAGAGCAGCATATACAATGTTTATTCCTGAAAGAGATACCAAGAAGATATGGAAGCTGTGGCTTTGAGAATCTACAATTAACAGAAGACTGGGAAAGTGTGGGTGAGTGTAAGGAGCAGAAAGGATGCTATAATGAACATAACCAATGTTCAATGACTACATATAGCAAGATCTTCCAGTGTAATGAAAGTTTGAAAGTCTTCAGGGAATTGTTTAACCCAAATAGACATAAGGTGAGACATACCGTAGAGAAACGTTTTAAATGTAAAGAATGTGGAAAAGCCTCTATCCAATGCTCACACACTACTGAACATAAAATAACTTCTAATACTAAGGAACGTTATAAATTGAGAGAATGTGGCAAAGTCTTTAATCAGTACTTATGCCTTACTAAACATAAGAAAACTCATACTGGAGAAAAAGCATACAAATGTGAAGAATGTGGCAAAGCCTTTAACCATAACTTGCTCCTTATTGCACATAAGAGAATTCATATAGGAAAGAAACCCTACCAATGTGAAGCATGTGGGAAGGCCTTTACACAGTGTACATACATTACTCAACATAAAAGAACTCACACTGCAGAGAAACCATGCAAATGTGAAGAATATGGCAAAGCCTTTAACCAGTCCTCAAGCCTCATTTTACATAAGACAATTCATACTGGAAAGAGACCCCACAAATGTCAAGAATGTTGCAAAGCTTTTAGCTCATGCCCTACCCTTAATTTGCATAAGAGAATTCGTACTGGAGATACACCGTACAAATGTGAAGAATGTGGCAAAGCCTTTACGTGGTCCTCAGATCTTAAAAGTCATAAGAGAATTCATACTGGAGAGAAATCCTACAAATGTGAAGAATGTAGCAAAGCCTTTTACCGGACCTCACTCCTTATTGCACATAAGAGAATTCATACAGGAGAGAAACCCTACAGCTGTGAAGAATGTGGCAAAGCTTTCAGCTGTTGCTGAAATCTTAAAAGACATAAGACAATTCATACTGGAGAGAAAACCGCACAAATGTGAAGAATGTGGCAAAGCTTTCAGCTGTTGCTGAAATCTTAAAAGACACAAGATAATTCATACTGGAGAGAAACTACACAAATGTGAAGAATGTAGCAAAGCCTTTAACCGGCCGTCACATCTTATTGCACATAAGATAATTCATACAGTAGGGAAACCCTACAAATGTGAAGAATGTGGCAAAGCCTTTACCTGGTGTACTTCCCTTACTCAGCATAAAAGAACTCATAATTGAGAGAAGCCATACAAATATAAAGAATGTGGGAAAGCCTTTAACCAGCCCTCAAGTCTCATTGCACACAAGACAATTCATACTGGAGAGAGACCCTACAAATGTGAAGAATGTGGCAAAGCTTTTAGCTCTTGCTTTACCCTTAATTTGCATAAGAGAATTCATACTGGAGATACACTAAACAAATGTGAAGCATGTGGCAATGCCTTTAAGTGGTCCTCAGTTCTTAAAACTCATAAGATAATTCATACAGGAGAGAAACCCTACAAATGTGAAGAATGTGCCAAAGCCTTTAAGTGGTTCTCAGCCTTTATTGCAAATAAGAGAATTCATACAGGAGAGAGACCCTACAAATGTGAAGAATGTGGCAGATATTAACTGGTTCTCAAATCTTAAAAGACATGAGAAAATACATTCCAGAGAGAAACCATAGAAATGTGAAGAATAAGAATGTGAAGACAGTAGTACAGAATACACCTCAGGCCTGGGGCCCAGCTGTGTGATCTGGGAAAAGTCACTTCTCTTCTGGGCCTCATTTTTAATTCTGCTAAAGTAAGAAATTTAAATTAAATGAAATCCAAATATATTCATCCTCTGAAATCAAACCTTCCAATGCCTTCCCATTATATTTAGAGTCAGATTCATGTTCCTCATCTCAGCCTATGTACTTGCCACCTCCACAAAGGCTCACAGCAATCAGTGTTTAGTGAGTCACTTTGAACTAACAAAACACCACACAAATGATCAGCTATTACTTATGTGTTAGTTCAGGCTGCTATAGCAAAAACAAACAAACAAACAAAAAAACAAAACAGAGTTTAACTGCACACAGGCTGAAAGTTCAAGATCTGGCTGTGAGCATGGCTAGGCTCTGGTGAGGACTCTACTCTTAGTTGCAGACTTCAGGTTTTATATTCACCTGGCAGACAGAGAAGAGAGGTCTCTGGGGTTTTGTGTAGAAAGCCAGTAATCCCAAGCATGGCGGTTCCACCCTTGGACCTAATAATTTACTAGGGGACTCATCTCCTAATTCCATCACATTGGAGACAAAAAGTATAACATATCAATTTTTGGAGGACAGTCCATTTTGAGTTCCATAAATTAATGATGAACAAAGCTATTATTTCCCTCTAATTTCCTTTCTCACATGTTCTATCCACTAAAGTTTCCCTCTCTCCAGTGTATTCTTAACGTTGGTGAAGCAAGCATTAGTACTATGAACTGCTTTTCGTAGATCCTGAATGGTGAAGAATTGAGGGAGTGACAATAAAAGAACGAATAGAAAATCAGGCTCAGTCTACATGGATTCCTCCCAATCCCCACATGTGTGAGCTTGGAAGCTGATTATTTCACAATCCAATGTCAACTGAGACCACAGCCCCAGACTCTTTGGAGAGCTAGAGGCAGAGGCACCTGATAAGTTGTGCCCTAACTGTGAGAAACAAATAGTAAGGTGTTAGGTATTGTCTAAACGTGGTAAATTTGGGGGCAGTGTTTTCATAGAAGAACAGGCCACCTCCCTCATCTTGCAGCCTCAGGATTCTCCATTTGCTCCTCTCTCCACAAGGCTCCCTCTACCCACACTGTCCTTTTTCTAATCTCCTCTGAAAAGTCATTTCTACCTGTGACTGGCTACTCCAGGGGTGGCACATCTCTGAAACTCAGTTTTCAGACTTTGATAGTTGCAGATCTTTTCATTCCGATCAAAGGATTTCACTTTGTGAAAGTGAAGGCATTGTGGACCCACACCACACAGTGATTTCATCGCCTTTCCTGCTTTCCTTAAGCTTTATTTTCACTATAGCAGTTATTCTCTTTATTCACATGAACTTGCTTAAGTACAGAATGTTGTGAGAAGGGTTTATGGACACCTTGCTGTAATATAATGAACATATCTCATCTGGAAATTTTCTAAGAACAGCTGAAGTTCTACCCTGAGCTCGCTCGCTTATTCCAAAAGCACGTCTTCCAAAATGCTGTAATTTAACATTTGCACACACACAAAGGTGGAAACTCTCGGTTTTGTAGGAAAGCAAGTTGGCTCCTGTGTTCTTCAGTCAAATTCAATGTTTGGGATTCTGTTGTGCATATATCACTGTCTGGGTCACCTGAACACAACATGGTGTGATTCAGTAAAGAGGAATTGATAATTCCAGACTCGGATGATTGATGAAACTCATTCTCTCTCTCTCTCCCTCTCTCCCTCTCCCCCATTACTCCCTCCCTTCCTCTCTTGCTAGCTCTCAGGCACCATGTATGGGTCCATTCTCACAACATCTCAAGGTAGCTCAACAGACAAATGAAAAAACGAAATCTTAATATTTACCATAACCAGCTCACAGCCCCTCAAAATTCCTTCTAGAGCCTCAAGCTATTCCTCAGAGGCTCCTAGACAGACAGCGGGGTGGTTAATCCTAGGTCTCCATTTCTTCCCACAAACAACACCTCAGGCAAACAATGACATGCCCTAGTATAGTGGCATTATGTTTCAGAGGTATAAAAACCACCACCAAGAAAAGTTCTCACAACGACCTGATAACTACTGCCAGCCATTACTAATTTACCACTTATCCCCACAAGGCAGCGTGCCCCTTGGTCTCTTACTTTTAAAAACCATGTAATCTCTGTGTCTTTTCCCCACTCCCGCTTCTGTCAACCAGTACTTCTCTCTTTCACTATAACTCTGACTGTCTCGCTCCCTCTCATTGTCTGTATCTCATTCAGATTACCTCTGGCTTCCTAGAGGGTTAAATGAAATTCTTACATAAATGAGTCTATGCATGAGGAATTATTCTCCACTCATTCCACGAGGACTTTGACTAGACTTTCCACCCTCACATGGAGATCACATACAATACATTTTTCTGAATAATAATTTCCACCTGTGAATGCCAAATATTGAATGATGGTTTTCATTGGGTTCCTAATGGGTTATTCAGGGCTATCTTCAAGGCAAAGTTCCTAGAGAGCAGGTTGTTCTGTGCCCCACCATTACCATGCTGGTTAGGGCTGAATGCTTAATGAAGGGCACCTTCAGAGTTTATATAAGCCCAGGGTGGGACCTGCAGGTTGGGTTTGCATAAGTCCCCTGAGGAGGCATTGAAGGAGCTAGGCACAGCTCTCTGTGGAAACTGGGTGCCATACTCCCATGATACGTTTTACCCAATCTCCAGAGAATGCTCTCACAAGTGGATCCCACCACAGGAGAATTGTTTTAAGCTTGAATGAAAACAAAAAAATGCAAGGGTGCTTCCAGCTGAGCCCCTAATCTGGTGTGAGTACCAGAGAGAAACTGACAGACAAGATGAGCATTCTGGAACCATGAATACATGTTTGGATCCAAAACCAGACAACCTAGCTCCAAATGCAGAAAGAAAGCGCAATCCTACTTTGGGGGTCAGGGAAACATGCCCCCCTATAGAAGGAAACCCACTACTATCACGACATCCAAGGCAGTCTTCTGACTTGAGGCTTTGAGGACCATCATATGCCACTGATTGCCACCAGGGATGAGCTGGGAAAACATGCGTTCCAGGGCCTAGAATTCCGATGTGTGTTAAAAAACACATCACAAACCCGAGACACTGGCCCAGGAGGTCGGCATTCCGGAGGTCGGCATTCACAAATCCAAGAGACTGGCACAGGAGGTCGGCATTCCGGAGCCTCGAATACACGTTTGGTTCCAAAACCAGAGATCCTGGCTGCGGAAGCAGAAGCGAGCGCAAGCCCAGGCTTGGTCTCAGGGGGGCCTGCCCAAAGAAGGCCCACGGAAGCGCACCACCATCACGGCATCCCAGCTGGCTCTTCTCCTTCAAGCCTTTGACGACAATCGCTTCCCGGGAGTGGCCGCCAGGGAGGAGTTGGCGAAACAGACGGGCCTTCCAGAGTCCAGAATTCAAATCTGGTTTCAGAATCGAAGGGCCAGACATCCGGGCCCGAGCAGACAGGGACCTCCCGCTTGCCTGGAGCCAGACGCACGTCAGACACCCGGGCTCACTGTGCAGCTGCACCGAGGGGCCCCTCCTCTTCCCGCCCCCAACTGCTTCAGCCCCAGCCTGTCCTTCACACTGGCTCTGCCTGCTCAGCCTGGGGCCCCTGGCCAGGCCGTGACTCAGCAAGAGCCATCACAGCTTGGGAAACGGTGGGGCTGGACAGAGGGGCCCCAGGAGGTTGAGGGGGGCAGGCAACCGGAGCAAGGGGCTGCAGGCTTCCTGCAGCCCACTCAGGGGGGGCACACGTGGGGCAAGAGCCGACAGGCCCCGGTGAAGATCCTTCTCCCGAGCCTGAGCGACAGCAAGCGGCACCACCCAGCTGGAGCCCTTTGGATTAGCTCTTGTCGGCCCTGGACTTTCAGAGAGAAGCACAGCCTTTCCCCAGTCTTGCTGCACGGGACGAGGACCTTCCACCACCCGAGCCACCCCTCAGCGAGGAAGAATTTCAGCATCTGCTGCACATGCTTCACAGCTCAACGGGGTGTCCCCTGCAGGAGGAGACATTCCCCCACTTTTGAGAAAGCAACAGCGCATGCAGGGGATGGGCCAGTTCCCCGACAATGCACAATAAAGCTGCCTGGAGCTGAATTCTCATCCCAAGGGTCTCTGTCATCTCAAATCATTGCGATCCTTCTCTCTGTCTCTCTCTCAGTCTCTCCCTCTCTGTCTCTGACTCCCTTGTAGAGTTGTGTCTGTCTGTGTGCGGGGTGTGGGTGGATGCGTGTGGCCGTGTACCACGTTCCCTCCTTCAGAAACCCGATCTCGTTTCCTTTGCTCTGGGAAACGTAGCCTTCCCTCGACTCGTGTCCAAAGCGCGTCTGTCTTCCCAATGCTCTAACTTGTCTTCTGCACACACGCAAAGTGGAAACTCTCGGTTTTGGAGGACAGAAGGTTAGCTCCCGTGTTCTTCAGTCAAATTCCATGTTTGGGACTCCGCTGCGCATCTCTATCACTGCCTTGGGCACCTGAGCACAACACCGTGGCATTCAGTGAAGGGGAATAGATAAGCCCACACTCGGATGATTGATGATCCCTACCCTGGAAACTCTCAGACTCGTTTCTTCGAGGATTTTGCCCACATCAACAGGCAGAGTTTCATATTCTACGGAATTTGGTGTGATCAAGTGTTTAGGGACAGCCTTGCTGTCACCAAAGGAACATAGCTCATCACACAATTTTCTAAGAATAGCTGATGGTCAACCATGTGATCTCGCGCTCTCGCTCTCTCTCTCTCTCCCCCAACTGCCTCTCTCTCTGTCTCTGTCTTGCTGGCCAGCAGGCACCCTGCATGCGTCCATGCTCACAATATCCCAGAGCGGGCCACCAGACAAGAGGAAAATGTCCATCTTGCTGATTACCATCAGCAGCTCACGGCCCTTGCAAATTCCTTCTAGAGCCTCAAGGCGTTCCTGAGAGAGGCCCTTGCA